CACTGCGTTTCCTTGAGAAACAAGACATTGTGGAAACAGACCGGGTTGTGCCCATGCGGGCCTTATATAACGTTGAGTAAACGACAAAGCAGACAGTGATGAAAGCCAGAACATATTAATTAAACGTGATGGTATAACTTGTGTTCTGCGAGCTATTAAAGACCTTGTGTGTTTTTCTTTGTAATCACAGGACCAAGATAAATTCAAGCAGATTGGCAACGCGTTCCAAGTCAAGGGAGAGTTAGCGAATGTAAGGACCTCAGCTCTGCTATCGTTTTGGCTCGTCATGCTTCCTGTACTTGTACCTTGCTGTTTTTACGATTTTCCTTAGTCAAGACGTCATCCTTTGGTTCTGGGCAGTTTGCTGAGTTTGATGACCTCAAAGAAGCCATATGCTCAGCAGTTGCCTTGTCTCAAGTTTGATTTGGCTGCTCTTGTTGAGACTCGACTGTCGTTTGCTTCAGGCAATCGAAAAGAAGGAGAAACTGTCCATTGCCGCGTCCAAGATTGACATCTACAGCCTCAAGGAGAGTCTTGCAGTCTTGCTGTTTCACAACCCGAACCCTTTCAGCACAGTGTCTCAACTTGTGTTTTTGCTGCGGATTGTGGTTTTCCAGTTTGCTCACGGCAGGATGGAAAGTGGATTAAGGAAAAAAAGATGTCGGAAAGCCTTCGGGACACGTCCGAGCCCGGCACTTGGTGTTTTGTTTTCAGCAAGTTGAACCATACTTGCTTGCTGGGTCTTTGTTTGCAACCTGTCAGGAAGTGTTGCTTTATTGCTTTTTCGGATGAGGTTCTCGAAACCCATTTGAGCGCATGGACTATAGAGGCGTCAACAGTTACATGATTTTACCTTCACTTCGAAAACCAAACAACAGAACGTTGAATACAAATAGTTTGTTTCTTCTCTGTTTGCTCCTGGATACCTGGAAACTGTTCTTACTTCTCCCCAGATAGCTGAAAGCTAGTAGAGGTTATTGTTTTTATTGGAAGCAAGTCTTTGTCGCAAAAACAGGGAGCGAGCCTAGCTCATGTCCCATTTTGTCAAAATCGTTTTGAGATACAACGATATTTCTACCAGGGGTCTATGCCGGTGCAATTTTCGCTACCTCCCTACCCTGTCCTTTTAAAGAGGCTTTTTGGGTGTGCACTGGGGTACCTTTTTTTTGTGACAGATTTTTTGGCTTTATCAAAAAGCTATCAAGGGATACCTTCTTGGCAGTAGGAGCAGTAGGAGCAGAAGATCTCTGCAAGTCTTCGGAAAACATGGTGAGCTAGGCACTGAAAGGGTGTTTTGACTCAAGGCCAAGGGAAAGAATTCAGAAGACCTCTGGAATGCCAGCCGTGAAGTTGTTTTTTTTCTCACTTAGATCAGAGTCTCCAAGTCCTCCCCTCAGTAGAGTGCCTTGCTGAAGTGCGGGGGTTAACCAATCATTCAGGTTGGACTGCTATGGATACCTCATTCCATAGAGGCTGGCTTCTTCGTGAGAAACGCGTTCGCAGTGTGGCGATGTTTTTCTGTCTAAATGGTGCTTCTTGAATCTTCTTGAAGCAGTGTGGCCCATTGATGTTCAACACTGAACCATTGTAGTGCACTGTTGACCCATTGAGTGAGCATGACAGTTTGACCACATGATATTGTATAAGTTTCTCTTTCCCACTGCACATTTATCCTCTCCATTGCGACATTTCCTTTCTTCGTCTTTCGGTTCGGCTGGGAAAAGATGAGAGGTCTGCAACCGAAAGACGCGGAGCTGATGCAGAAGCCGTGCGCAGAGCTGCTCACAGACTTTCACCCCGCGGCAACGACCGAAAAAAGGAGTGGCAAAAACTCAAGTGGCGAATGGTTTGATGGATTTGTCAAGCGCAGTTTTGTTGTGCCTTTGTCGAAAGGCGCGAGAGGAAAACACTGGACAATTGAAGGTCAATCTGAGGAAAATTGGTGAAAGATATGTCCCTGTGAAGTTCCATTTGCAAATGCAAGCTATGATGTAGAATCTGTAGAACATTTGATATCATAATCCAAGATTCTAAGAAGTCCAACCTTCGCATTGGATTACTTCAGATGCTGATCATGCTATGGACAGCAGCTCGCACTCATGCAGAAAGTTGAGTTTGGCTCATAAAAGTATAAGACGTGACAAGCATGGCGACAAGACACTTCAATACGACATCGACAAGCGTGATATCAGCAATGTGTATGTGTCAATCCGTGCAGACAACCATGATCATAGGCCAGTTCCACAAAAAGAATGGCGCAGTCAACATATTTTCTTGTTCAAATGCGTGCCGTGTTCGCAGGATCGTGCTTTTATGACTGCCTCCATAAGTCGGAAGCCATGGATTTTGTGGATTTTGCTTTTGATAATCACGAAGCTGCTTCGTGGAGGTGCGTTTGGCTCTATGTTTGGGACAAGGCAAAGTCACGCTGCGCTGCGGAAGCGGACGCTGTGCTGCGCCGAGATGACCGAATGGGATTTTGACCTAAGGAATCTGGAATCAGTACTGCCAGCTGCGCATACAGCATGGGGTCGCCTGTTTGAAGCCCATGCCACGCAAAAGCTTGGCACCAAGTATTCTCCGGTGCTCGAGGCCTTTTCGGTAGACTTCCTCGGTGTAGACTTCCTCGGTGTAGCAGATGGATATGAAGCTTGGGAAGACTTTGCCAAAGACCACATGACGCACATGCACAACAGCACCTGCGCAACACTACAGGCACCACATTTCCTGATTGCAGAAATCGGGCTAACAACCCAAACCTTGGTGAAAAAAATGAAAGACAATGCAACATCCCTCAGATTGATGGAGACGTTCGTCAGCACCATGCGATCCAAGAACTTTAGTGCCGGAAAATGCTTGGTTTATGACGGGGCGGATGCAGAAGACTTCACAAAGACCAACTTGGCAAGGCAATTCTTGGACGAAGGGGGAATCTTGATCAATATTCCGTACCTATCGGCAGACACGGTCCTGGCAAAATTGAATGAAACCACAAAGCTTCGAGAGGAATTGGAGGCATTGCGGGCAGACCTGGAGCACTACCTGGAGCTTTCAGGAGAGGAATTGCAGGCATTGCGGGCAGACCTGAAGCTTTCAGGCCTGACTCTGTGCCACGCTTCATGTTGGAAAACCACCCATTCTGCTCTAGCTTTTGCACACCATGACACAGAACCATGGACATCAGACCAACGTGGGAAATATTGTTCTGTCGTGCTTTTGTTGTGCAATGCAAAATGTACTTCGTTTCCTATAGAATAGGCTTCGGTTTCAAGTGCAGACGCTAGCAAAGCAGTTCACACCTATCGTACCTATATCTATGCACAGTACATCTGGGGATTTAAGCAGTGGTTTGTTTATTGCTGACTGCTGATGTTTTTAAGTCTGAGTAGCTACCGAGACCTTGCACAGCAACGGAAACTTGCCATCTTTGCACCCTGCTAGGCACTACTGCCACACAGACCAAAGCTGTTTGGGTGAGGCAGCTCCAGAAGGACTGACGACAGTTCCACATGAGACGCATGATTGGTATAGCAAAAGCTGCAGACAAGAAATCCACCCCCAAAGCAATCAGATGTTGCCATTTTCATTTCCTGTCATGATAGTTCTTCCCAATATGTTCCTTCAATTGAAATGCTTGAGACTAAAGACTTTGTATAAATTTCTGCCATGCCCTTGATTGTTCCCTTGCTATGCCCTTTGGAAAGTAAATGCGAGTAGCACACGGTTGGAAAGGGTTGAGTTTGAGGCTGTTGGGCTGTTGACCTTGCAGGACGACAGTGGTGGCTTTGAGTTTGCTGGCAATGCTTTCCCAATTGACCCAGTGCCCCAAAACATTGCACTCCTGACACGTATTTGCAAAGAATGTTTTTGATGTTTGGATGGTCGGCCGAACTTGAATTTGGATACGATGTTGTGTATCTCAACTTGAACGTCGTCAGGCATATTTAAAAAATGTGCTGGCCTCAGATGGATTTTCTTTCATCTTGTTTTGAGACAGTTTTGAGAAGAGAAATGACACATCGTCCGCATCTACAACATGTGTTGTGAGTTCATGGTTTGCGTCTGCGTTCATGTCCAATGCTGTGCCTTAGTTGATGTTGAGTAGAAGACACACAAAGTAGTGAGTGATGAAAACAAGTATCTGTTACATTGAAAGGTTGTTTTGCTCTGAGGCCATCAAGAAGGACAAGCCAAACAAAGTCCAATGCGATGCGGATGAGATCGACATTTTTAGCCAACAGCAGGAGCCGTTGTTTGTGCCAAGATGGCACCTTTCAAACCAGTGCCTCAACTTGTCGCACCTTGCTTCTCATGGACTTGCAGGATGGAAAGTGGATTAAGGAAAATGAAGAAGCGCTAGTCAATCGTGGCACGTCCAAGCCCGGCACTTGGTGTTTTGTTTTCATCAAGTTGAACGATAATTATTTGCTGAGTCTTTGTTTGCAACCCGTGATCTTGCTTAGCTTTGAGGACAGACTGTTATGGTTTCTTGATACCATCAACATAGGACGTGCCTTTCTCAGCTTTCTCAACCGTTCTGGAGTTGCATGGTCAGGAAGTGTTGCTTTGTTGCTTGTTGGATGAGGTTCTCGAATCCCATTTGAGCACAATGACTATAGACAGCGTCAACAATTACATGATTTTACCTTCACTTCGAAAACCAAACAGCAGAACGTTGGATACAAATATGTTATTTCTTCTCTGTTTGCTCCTGGATACCTAGAAACTATTCTTACTTCTCCCGTTTTGTTTAACCTCGAGAAAGTTATGTGCAAAAAAGATCAGAAAGAGCAGAAAGAGATTCTTTGTTTTCTCGAGGGTTGACTTTTCAGGACAGTAAATCACCCAAGAGGACTTGACGTGCAAAGTCTCAGCTCTCAAAATGTTATCTCTGCAAAGTCTTTGAGCTGCTTTCTGCTCACGCTTCGGCTGAAGTGGCTCATTTTCAGAGCAGTCTTAACCGCAAATCACAGCTGCCACAAGAAACCAACAGCGTACCTTTTTCAATGAGCGTTCAATGGTCGTACGATGTTTTTCTGTCGAAACTGTGCTCTCGGCTTGAAATTCATAGGAGACAAGTCAGCATTGAAACATTTGGAGTTTTAACCTAAATTGGAGAATTTGAACACTTTTCTAATCGTGTTCGCCAGAAAATGTTTCTCGTTTTTCTGGTCTCTCGCAACGTTGTGAGACTTTGAAAGGTATACACCGCAAAAGGGGCTCTTCAAGGGTGCAAAGCATTCGGTGCTGGTAGGCGATCCTGTTGTCCTTCGCTCCAGGAGCACCTTCCTCTTTCTTGACTCATCGGAAATCATTTCAAGGGAAACCAACAGAGCGCAGAAGCTTGCTCTTGACACAGCGGGAGTTGATCGTTTTTGATGTTTTATGATGTTTTATGTTTGCAGCACGACCACCAAGGCCGCTTCGCGCGATTCTCAATAGAGTATGGCCTGAACAACGTCACAACGTCTGTTTGAAAAGGTGTCGCAGCTGAGTGTTGTTGATCAGCCGGTGCCACGTCCGGCGGGCTGTCGACTTGGTGGGATCTCGTGTTTCGCTTCCGGTGTCCACCATGGGTTCGGACCCGAAGCAAAGCCTGTCCATGGGGGTTCGGGCCCGGAGTCTTGAGATCTCAAGGATGGTCACTTTGAAAGTCCGGGTGTATAACATAGGGTACAATAATTGATTGAGGATTCTTGACGGATGTTGCTTCATTGGATGCGCAAGACTTGTTGTCATCTTGTCATCAACAAACAGACAGTGGTTTCAGAGTAGATTGCACGATCCCCAAGTTGGGAGGTTTATTTGGACCCCCATCCATCCCCATCCAGCCATCTGAAGATGTTGTTGTTTTTTTTCGCACCGTGCCTTTGCCACCCCCAGGGTTCCCATTTACGGCTCCACCGCGTCCTCGACCCGCCACCGAGGTCGGCGTCAGCGCGCGACGTTTCGACGCGTGACGCTTCGACGCTCTTCGACGCGCTGAAAGGCCGGTTTGACGGCCCGGGACGCGTCGCGGGAAGGACGGCAACGGCCGCAAGAACGCATGACACGCGCGACGGTTTCGTAGACCGTTTCGCGAGTTGGTAGGACATTCGTGGACATTCCAAGACCTTCGAAGCGGAAGGTGATCACCCAAACGTGATCGACAGCTGGGACTGGCATAGGTTTCCCTACATGGGCAAGGTGTTGCAGGACCTGGAGTTTGTGACCTAGAATTGGGTCTTTTGTTTGTGACCTGTTCTTAGACTATGTGATTGGCCGAACATGCTGGGATCTCCAGGTACGGTCACGAACCGAAGGTCCGTGGTGAGGGAATCGCGCACGAACGACTGCAAGGCATTTCCAGTTTGTAGGCTAGCGGCCAGCGGTAGGCTGGGCTGAAGTTAGTTTTTGCGAACGAAGTGAGTTATTCAGGGGTGGGGGTTGCTAGCAGCTGTTGATGTGCGTTGAGTTGGTACTTTTCTTTTCGAAATGCAAGCGGCCTCATTTAATTTGGGCAGCTAAGGTAAATAAATTTTGTATGATTTAGTATATGATTTGGTTGATTTTGATGAAGATGAAGAGTGCAATTGCTGCGGTGAAGTCGCCGATGGAGGGTTAAGCTGCAATCACTCCAGGACATTTTCTTTCACCAGGGTAGAAGGCTTCTTACACAGCCACAAAGGAGACCCAAATGGCCAGGAAGCATGACAGGCAAGGTCCTTGCATATGGGCTTTGGTGGCAGTGTTTGTGATGAAGAACACTTAGCAAATTTCAAGCACAGCGACTTGCATACATTGGTTCTACTGGCTTCATTCCTTCCTTCATTCGGTTCCAAGATGTTTCAAGTTTCATGCATGTTTGTTGCGAGTGCCAAGTGTTTGTAGAAGGGCACTCAGTTGCTATTAGTTGTCTAATGTTGTCTATAGGATTCTGTAAGGTGAGTTCCGACGATGTTCCATAGCGAACATGGTCGTGTTGGTTTTGGTTTGAGCTAGAATATGGATCTCCAATGGTTTTGGTGCATGCTGAATATATAAACCGCTGACGGATCCACCGCGCAGGAGGCGTGGAGTCAGCCCCCGCCTCTCCGACCTCCTCCCGTGCGGGCGCTCAGTGGTTTCTCGGTGAAGATGTTGAGTTATATATATAGGCGTACTAATGATGCTCAACTTCGGCACGCCCATTTGTTATATAGATATATATATAGATCATGTTTGTTTGAATTACAGTCCTATAATTCTTTTCCACTAACTTGGAAAACACGAGCCACAAGTGCACATATATACTATATGGCTAGTATATACAGTAGACGAGAACCTGCCAACAGGTTCTCGTTCACGATACTCGACCGACCTGTCGAGGCGACCGGGCCTCGAGGCGCCGGGCCCCACAAAGAGAGATACCTGGAACCTGAGCTCGACCTCTATTGTGGACCACCAACCACCCAAAATATGGTTTACTCCTATCAAAACAGAGGTCACATGGGTTCCAGGTATATATATATATATATCCTAGCGCTTCCTGTTTGGGTGTCCTGTTTGGTGACCTATAAGCAGTGAAGTGTTGTCCGGCCAGGTAACCCCGAACGGAAGCAGCTGGTATAACTATACACCACTTGGTGCTTATACTTATTATATGGTAGTACTACTTATGATATCTCTTTAGGTTCTCCGTCCTGTGGCAAGCCTTGACACTATATAGAGGTTCTTCACATAAACAACTTAGACCATGATTGCTGATGCTCGGGAAAACCCGGTTTTTGATGGCTTCTGCTCTAGATTGTCGACCCCTTAGCGGGTGTGTGCGGCGAGAGAACCGCTTCACTAAGCTCTGCCAGGCAGCGGTGCCTTCCGCAGGCAGAGCTTGGGGGGGGCAAAGGCCATCGGGATGGTCCGTTGGAGCCTCTATTCAGAGTTCTGTGTGTGTGTGTATTTTTTTTTTAATACTGTATGTTCTTGGGGAATGGGTATATGCAATATATAACTATATATGTTGGATCATATAAATAGTATGGGCTGAATTGTTGTGTGTGTGACTTGTCCAGGGCAAGATTGTTGCTGTTGGGTTGACATCAACACAAATAGTCTATATGACACACGATAGATCACAAACGCCATAACCCGGACCCTCCAGTTCGTACTCTAGAATGACATGACATGACCCAAACCAACTAACCGGTAGATTTACAACCATTCTCTAAGGTATCGATCTCGGTCAACTCCAGGAAGTTGTCAGCTCCGGGTGGGACGCTGTTTGGGGCACGAAAACAGCGTACTCAGCGGACTGACCGTCATCCGTTCTTTGGAACTGCGAACAACGCATGGTGTCTTAGAGCTTCAACACCAGGTAGCCTCCTACGAGGTGTCTTGTGTCTTTATAGGACCCTACAGGGGTACCTATAGGATAGTCTATAGGGTTCTTCAACCTGGAATTAGAGCTTCAACACCAGGGGTCTGACCGAGACTGTGCAGTTGAGACGACGGGCGCAGTTGAGACGACTGGGAGACGCCCAACGAATGGTGGTGTTTTTGGCGTTAAGCTTCTTGCTCGGGGTCCAACTCAAAGGCCCCCCAGCTACAATACTCCCTAGGGCTCCAACTACCTCCTGAGAAGATGGTTGGGGTGGGTTTTGGGATATGGTTGGAGCCCTAGGGACTATATGCTGAGTTGGACCTAAATATGACAAAATCATACAGAATCGATTTTGATGGCTCGACCCCTCCTGGTCCCTTGCAGACGGTCACACGGGCTTTTGGTGAGCCATCTCCCATCCCATGATAGGTTCCTTAAAAAATAAGATAAACACACCTACTTTTTTCTGCATCACAAATATGAGTGATGGATCAAATCTGAATAATGTTAAGCGAAGGACCATTACAGGTCCATCCAAAAATGATCCTGTTTGGTCCATTGTGGAACAGGTCATCTTGGGATCCACCGATCCGTTGCACCGATCCGCAGGCCTCGGCAGGCTCTTGCACGACGCTGGGCGGAACGGCGCTGCCTTACGAGAGATCGGATAGCCGCCTTGGGTCTGAACGAAGTGAACTGTAACAGTCAGCAAGTATCACATATGATCACTAGTGGCTGAACAAGGCCTGGTACCGAACCAAAGCGAAAAAATCCGCTGGGCCCTGGTATTAGGTGGGGCGTTATTTTTGTGTCGCCAGTGTGTTTTGTGCAGCAGCCTGGACACCACTGGGGTACTAAGATAGGAATCTGGACAAAAAAGATTGGAATCCGGACAAAAAGGGTGTAAGGGTTGCTGATAGTTGTAGGTTACCACTATATATATTAGTTATCACAACATGTAGAGAGTTCACAACAAGTTTCGATCAAACCGCGGATCCATAGGGCCTTTGTAGGGTGCTGTCCCATTCTCGCACAGTTTTCCGTGGAAGAACGTTTTCCCGAGATTTCGAAGCTGAGAGGACCATGCCACCCCAAGTTGCCGGCGCTATGAAAAAAGCTCCTCCTACTCAGAGGCCCAACGCTGCAATTCTCAGCGGCCCATTCTGCTGGAAACCGCGCAGCTGGAAACCGCGCTCTTTCGGCGTCAACGGCCGTGGGCGGAGCGAAAGGGAGCGGACGAGTACCGCTCTGAGAGCGGAAACGAAGATCCGCCGCTGCAGGTTGGTCACATGAGGAATGGGGGAAGATGAATTCCCCGAACATGAGGATTTTGGAACGGGTGAGTGAGCCTGGGAGCTGATGAGGTAGAAACCATGTCCCAATGGATGAGGCTTTGGTTTGCTTGAAAAACACATTGCCGAGGCAGAGCATGGCGATTCAGCCAGGAGACAGGTTGCGACCGCCTTTACGAGATCCAGACCCCATGGCAACAGGCAGAGCATTGTTGTGCTTGCGGATTGGCACAGATGTTGATTTGGAGGAGAATAGCCAGAAGCTGGGCGATTGTGCTGCCTGATATTGCACGACGCATTTCAGATTGAATGTGGGCGGGCTGAACGAAGTAGTGGCCTTCATCAAGCAGGACAGGGAGTTGTCCTTGCCGGCCGTTACAGCCAGTTGCCAGTGCTGATTAAGAGTATAGTGCAGAATGTGTGGGTTCAACGAGGTGATCGGAGAGTTTGGCCGCAGATTGCAGACTGACGGAGTGGTACCCTTTGTGCCTAGAAGCCATAAATCAATTGCCCGCCATGCCATTCATGTGTTTGCGGGTGCCTATGGTATGCTATGGTTTCAGAGAGCTTTTCATGTCGGTCACTTTTTTGGGCGCTTCCTTGAGCTGATGATTGGCATACGTGCTTTAAATTGGAGCAGAGTACCCGGATGCGCCGCCTTTTCGTGCCACCGAGATAGGTTTTAGACGATGATTTGGCACCCCAGATCAGTGGAGGACAATGAATTCACCACGTTCGAGGAATACACTCTGACTCACTAACATGGAAGTGGATGGCATGGTCCCTTGGAAGACGACTTTCCTCTAGAAACAGGTGGCGCCATCCACTTCCCAGTGAGTCCCAGTGTATTTGGAAGGACTTGAGACC